GTATTTTTTTCGTTTACTGCACGTTGCAAGAACTAAATAATAAATATGAACTATTACTAGATAAAAATACTGTATAAGTATCTCAGTAAGGTAATCAGCTTCAAGGGAATGTATTTACAGGTGCTCCTCATCCTGCGCTGTGCAGTACTGTAAATTATACATGCGTCATGAAACAAACTCATCTATAGTTTACTGGTTGTATCCAGGTACTCTCTCAGATAAGTTCTTTTTGCCCTTGTGTGTGTTGTTGACAGGACCATGAAAACAAACCCTCGGTTTATGGGCTTGGACAACCTGGCCTCCCTCGCTGCATCTCCAAAACATTCATCGCTATGGGAGACAAGTCTGCTGGGATAAAGCACGCTGTGAGCTGTCACCATGGCGACGGCATGAGACAGAGGCCCGAGGGAGCTCAGGTCCAACTGAAAGAAGAATAGACCATTCAAAGATGAGTGTGCATTTTCTATACAATTAAAAACACTGTCACAGCTCCAGTTTTCCTTGAACCAAATATAAAAAAAAAAACTGCCAGCACAAGGTTTCTGATGTTTTTTTTTTCAACCACACAAGTGGAGAAATTATTTGACATACTGCTGTTATTTTTCCATTTCAACTATAAGTTGTGGACGTTTGTCTTTTCTGTTTCAACAAATTGCAAACTTTTCTACATTTATATGTTAAAGAAACGTTTTCATTTGCTCCGGGCCTTCTTGCAGTCTTCAGCCTTTGGCTCTAAAAAGTTAAAACCAAAACCAGTGGGCCCTTTATACAGGAAAAGAAACAAACAGTTTCCTGGAAATCTCTTTCTCAGATTTGATATCATGAGCCAGACATTATTTGTTGTTTATCCACACAGTGATACCAAAATATTTCCTGCTAATTAGTCTCAGATTTATCAGTATTTAGATATAAATGGTTTGATGACTCATTAAGTCTGAAAACTCGGCTCAGAGCTCCCTGATAAGCAGAATTATCAGTGTGCTGTTGGAGAGGAAAGACATTTTTTTTCATTTTTAAGGAAAATTGTGGTAAAAATCAGAACGAGAACCATCTCCTCCCTGGAATCTGTTCAAACTGCAGACATGCTACAGTCCTTGTTGTCGACATCTGTGGTCAAAGTGCTGACGTCTCAACTTTACTGAACACTCACTGGAGACCGCAGCAGAGGACGGTCCAGACTCTTAGACCTTATTTTACTTTGTTATCTGTGGGAGCTCGGGTCATGTTCGTGTTTTTGGCTCTAGTTTTCTGGTTTTGATTGAATATTCTGACTTTAAACTTGAACGTTTTTCATGGAATTTGTGGAGGTTTGACTCTGAGACACAACAGCCTGAGCTCCAAATCATCAGGGTGGCCTGAATCTGCAAGTTCAAATACTTCATTCATTATACAAACATGAAGACAAAATATTAAACAATGATAAACAATCTTGTTGGGTATTTGTAGGTTTGGGATTTAGATTTCTTTTTGCTTTCGGGAACAAACACATCCAGACGAGGAACAGACATCTTGAATCAGCAGGGGCGTCGCAACAGGATAGGTAGAACAGACATTTGCCAGGGGTCCCAAGCTGAGAGGGGCCCCCACGAGAGGCAAATTACGTTACTCCACAGCAATGAAAGTTTTGTGAGAACCCCCTTAAATTCTATGGTCGGTTTTGTACAAGAGACTCTAAGAACAACACAGTCTGAAACCATAGGACAAGGCCTCATGTTACGAAAGCATAATATTTGGTATTATAATCTTGTTCTTAATCGTGACAAAGTATTGTTAGCATTATTAATTGCTGCACGTATATGTCTGCATTATCAAAAGATGAGGGGTTTATTGGTCTGTGAGTTAATGTGAAATGTGAATGTGTTGAACATATTAACCTACACAGGTCTACTTAAGTGTTTGCAGAAGATACTTTATCAGCTTTACACAACTTTACAGCCAATCTATCGATGAGGTTAAAAAACCAGTGATAACATGGGATTATAGTTTCTAGTGCCTCTATCAGGGACCCGGCGGACTTTGCTGTTTGGTCATCATCCTGTTTGACAGAAATCTGCTACCTGTCAACTTCACGTGTTCTCGCAGGAAAAAGCTGCTACTTTTTCAAATGTGCTATCTGTGACATGTGTCAGTGGCCCTGATTCTCAGCTCTGACTTGTCACAACATTATTTTGACCTTTTCCTTTTATTTGCTTTCACGTTAATCGCCTAATCCCATCAACATCCGCTGCTGGACATTATTGAGAAACCCCGCAGTTAAGTTCTCTATTAAGGCTACGTTGTTAATTTAAATTTATGATATATATATTTCACGAGGAAGGAAATATGAACCTGTTAAGATTAAGATTAAGATTAGACCCCAAGAACACATCACATTATATTATACATTTTGGTAAAAAACTTTAGTTTTGTTCAAATATAAACATACACAGGGCTCCTTAAAGTAGTTGTAGTGGTCCCACACTTTTGAACTCTGACATGCTGCCATACAAACAGGACTGCAGCTATTGTGATTTTTTTATTATAGTTTGATATATGTGTTGTTTTGTTTAATCAATACATTTTATAATCATGCCTTCTATATTCTGCCCAAATTTAGTGTACATTTTTAATGAATTTTCAGAGGATGGCAGAAGAGAAGACACTACTGTTGAACAATTATTATTATTCAGATTGTTCAATGAGTTAAAATGGCTGGTGGTGTGAACGCTCCATTAAGAAAAGAAACAAGATGAGTGGGGCCCATGATTGTTTGGGGTATTTTTAAGTTGTATCTTTTCCTTCTAGCTGAAGAACAGTGTTGAGGAGGATTTGTTGTGAAAAAAATCACAATTCGCTGGAATGTGGCGTCTTTTTCTCTCTCATACAGAAAACAAGAAAAAGAGTCAATGCTCAGATTAAAACTGTGGTGTATTACTCCATAATAAAACTGCTGTTAGATGGTTTATTCACAACTGTGATTTCAAAAATATTATTGTTAGGCTTTTCTTATAACTTTCTTATATTTTGTCACACCATTGAATTGGTCAAATTCCACTCACACACCCACCTTGATCATGGTCCTCTGAGATTACAGGGTTATGTCGTGTGTGTGTGTGTGTGTGTGCGTGCGCGTGACTGATTGGTAAAACCTTGTGACAGTGAACTCGGGGCTGATAAAGTACCTTTGCTGCACTTTTCGACAGATAAGGCTGTAAAATGTTGTGAATTAGTGCTTCATGTGTTCTGACATCTCACATTTCCTCCGGCTGCATTAATGTGGATAATATTGATTTTCTTAGCACATGTACTTAACCCAATAGAGACTTAACCCAAGAGTGCTTGCACTCGCGTGGACAAATTACCTGCGCTTCAGAAATCCGAGAGCAAATGGAAGCAGAGGAAGGAGAAGAGCTGAAGTGGAGAGCAGGAAAAATCTCCAAGCAACAAAATATCTGAGTTCAAGCGCAAATATAAACACAAGCAGGGACAAATTTTGGTGCGAGTGCTGGGTTTTGAGTGAAAGCATAAAAAAATCTGAACATGAAATCAATTAGTCCTGCTCTTAAAGTGAAAGACTAGGCTCTTTCACTTTGAGACAGGAAAAAAAAACTCATTGACATCTATAATATCTACATCTCGTTAAAAACCAGAAAGTCAAGCATTAAATATTAAATAGCTTGATGAATAAGGTTCCACCTCAGGTGTTATGATGACTTTAATTTACTCAAATGGTTTTAATTATTCTGAATTAATGACTGAACACAAAGTCTGTTTGTAAGTAATAGAGACAAAAACATTAAAGCATTGCAAAAGATAGAAATGCAAATGTCCACACTGACCTTTATTTACAGGCAAATAAAGGATGTTTACAACATTGTGAATATTTCTGATGAACTATGTTGTTCCTGTTTTGGGTGTCAACATCCTAGTTTAGTTATACACAAACGTGTTTGTGTGAATGTGACCATGTATGAAAAGGTTTAACTGAGTTCTGTTGCCACATGGCAAAAGGACAAAACAGGGCATTGAACAAAAAATAAGTACATTTAAATGTATATTATGCAGCAAAATGGGTTTAAAGGTAATTTAAAACATAATTTGATCGAATCTAATCATCGCAGTATCGTGCAGTTAAAACACTTGAAACTAAAATAGCACTGGGTAGAGCTCACACCTCCACCAAGGACAAACAATCCTACATCTCTGTGTAAATAAAATAAAAACCAAGCAGTCTGATAATCTGCAACAAACCTGGATCTCACCATTAATAAGTCAGAGACTCACATCGAGATCCATACATGGTTTCCTGAGAGACAAAAGGTCTGCTCAAGATTGGCTTTACTGCAGAACACATGCAGGGTATACAGTAGACTGCGTTTAAGGCCTTTATGAATTTATAGTATGAGTGTCCTTTGACAGAGCGAGGGTCAATACACTCTTAATGTCCTGAAGGCTTCATCTGCTATGCTCTAGCTGTTTTATAAAATAAAGCATGAGTGCTGCAGTAGATGGTGAGGCTCGTATTTAAAACATGTCTCTGTAAAGATAAGATGCCATCTGAACTTATTGCAGCCAATCTGGAGAAGAGAAACAGTTTCTTTTGTCTGTAATAAAAAAAGTTTTTTGTACAAAATAAGGTTTTTTAAGTATGCCTGAAAACTGAGCTGTGCCCCAATCCAGGAAACACATCCTTCAGAAGCTGCACACGATGGATTGAGAGATAGGCTGTCCCATTCCAAAGGTTCTTTCAAATGTGGTCGACAAATGCATCCTTCCATTCCAGAGCAACCTAAGATCTAACGGTTGGATGACTCGTCCTTTCCTTTATCCTTTCCTATAAAACCTATGGCACCTGTCACAATTATTAAGAATGACTGTGACTAAACTGATGAATTTAACTGTATCACTGCGGCTTAACAAAGAAACCTGACTCCTGAGTCTGATTTGGATAGTTTAAGTAGGGTGTTTGTTTTTTTTTTTTTTTAACAATCAGTCCTGAGTAAAGACAAAAAAAACACATCTGTCTCAAGACAACATTTATTTTGGAATTCAAACACATCTATAAACAATTAATCACAATCATGGATCAGTGTTTGAGGAGGTTAAGGCACACAAAACACATCCTGCTGATCTGGAAACACATCCTCCAACAGCTCAACAGCTGCGGTCATGTTCCCTCAGGGTCTCTCTCTCTCTCTCTCACACACACACACACACACACACACAGACACACACACAGACATCCTTTGTCTTTGTTTTAGATACAGAGGGCTGTACAGGCCATTGCCTATAATCTAAAATATTATAAAAAGCTATAAAAGTTTGGAATTAAGACACATGGATGAAAAACACATTTGAAACACACTCACTAGATTAATATGATGATAAAATACATTTGAAATACATTTTGTCACAGAAATGAAAAATACACACTCTCACACAAAAAATCATATGAAGTCAAAAGACTGCTGTCTGCCACCTGAAACACTTTGTGTGGAAGAGGATTAAGTTGTTACCTTGGGCTAAAACATGAACCCATCTTCAGTTTCAGTCTCGGCAGAAACTCTCCTAAGCAAATATTACATGCAAAACACACACACACACACACACACGAGCTGTCTCATCATTGTCACACAGCATTTAAACTGGAAGTTTCAGTGAAACATGACACCAGCTGGCCAACGATCGAGCCACACACGCAGGTATTTTTCAAATTCACATAATGACACAGAAGGTCTAGTATAAATATTACATTGGCAAAGAGCAACACATTTTAAAAGAATAAAGTAAATAGGAAACCAGGCTCTCGTGTCCGCACGCTCAACATTAGAGCATCTCAAGCACGATACACCTTTAAACTAGTACATGTCAGCCAAAGCAAAGCAGAACGATCAATATGTGAACATACATCTTCATGTCGGAGTCTTTCTGTGGGATTCACCCTGTGGTCCCAGACCAGCAAACAAAAAACACTCATGTGCAACAAACATTTTTTTCTACTTTTGAAATCAATCTGTGAAACATTTCTGAGCAGTTCAAACATAGTCTTTCCTGTCGTACCCTCCACCTGCACTGGTGCTGCGTGGGGCAGTGTACGCCATCCGGGGTGGCTTGTACTTCTTCTCTTTTGGCGGGCAGCTTGTGCACAGCATGGCTCCGCCAATCAGGAGCAAGGCGGCGGCGCCCCAGCCGATGTAGAGAGATGCCCCCATTTCCCTCTTCTGTGAGCTGATCAGCAGGGGGTTGTAGAAATCCCTGACGATGACACTGGCTGTCCAGGAGACAGGAATGAGGACCAGAAGGCCGGCGAGGAGGAAGAAGATTCCAGAGATGATCATCACTTTGGCCTTGGACGCCTCGTCTTCGATGCAGTTAGTGCACTTTGCACCGACGATAGAGATCATGACCCCCAACACCCCGAGTATGATGGAGATGATGGTCATGGCTCTGGAAGCCTGCAGCTCTTGAGGTAAGGCCAGCAGCGAGTCATAGATCTTGCACTGCATCTGTCCGGTGCTCTGAACAACACAGTTCATCCACAGACCCTGCCAGGTGGTCTGAGCTGTGACGATGTTGGCTCCGATGAACGCTGTCACTTTCCACATCGGCAGGGCGCACGTCACTATGGCAATGATGAACCCAATGGCTCCAAGGGCGATGCCCACGATCTCCATGCCCATCGACATGATGGCTCTTCGTCTGAGGAGCGGTCTCCTGCTCTGTTGATCAGGTGTTAACACTACGAGCACCTGTGTGGGATGTAGAGATGCTGCCACGGAAACAAGAGATCCTTTATATTTCAGTGGAGCAAGGAGGAGTCCTATGGTGATGATGTCAGCAGGAGGCCGCCTTCATACACACACACACACACACACAAGAAAAAAACACCTGTGCATATACATTGGAGGAGGGGAGCTGAAGACAGGTGAGGAGGGATGGTGGGAGGGAGAGTCCTTTTGTGTATGTCTGTGTGTGTGTGTGTGTGTGTGTGTGTGTGGTTAGTGGGGGTTGATAAGATAGCTGCCTCTTCCAAAAAAGTTCTTGATTTGTGTTTTGTGTGATGCAGGTAATATAACTGTGATGAGTAAAATCAAGGTGTGGTCTGAAGTAAACAGTAAATAAGGTCTGACCTGAGGGAAGTAAACAAGTTAAACACAGCTGAGACCAGAGAGGAACACATTGCTCCAAACACACTCCAGCTCCTTGATACCACTCGTCTTTTGTTACTCCCTGGTTCCACTTGTCGGGATTTGGTGTGAGGAAAACGATCCCAGAGCTCTGCTGGAAACCGGAATAACTGCCCCCAGAGCAAATATGAGCAGAGAGAAAACATAATGGGTCGGTTTTCAGACACCTTGAGCATACAGACAACGTGATCGTCTCAGTATCGGTTAAAGTCAAACAGTTCCTGTCTGAGTGGAATATTCAAAGGAGGCTTTGCAGATAAATAAGGCAGTAAAATTTAAAATTTCGACTTTTACATTCAAAAAATTTGCAAAAAAATAGAACTGGTCTAAGAAGGTTAAAATAAAGACTCAGTTTTTTGAAAGACACAGTTATTGCAGTTTGATTTTTATTTGTATTCATTTATCCTTTATATAACCAGGAAGGTCCAATTGAGAAAAAATATCTGGTCCTGGTCAAAAGGGGCATCAAATTAAATTAAAAAAGTTTAATATATAAATACAAGTACAGACAGATACTAAAACACACTCTAAAGCACTGAGCAGAAACATACAGGTTTCAATGGCAAAAATGAATAATGGAAAACAAAAGCATATGTTAGAAGAGACAGTTCTGTCCATAATAAGTTTAAAACATTTTAAACATGCCATTTTCAGGACACTATCCGTAAGACCTCTATTTACTGACATACTTTACTATAAACTGGACAAATCATACAGACATTTGTCAAAAATTCTTTGCAACTTTATATTCAGGACCACAACTGTCTTATAACCAGGTCATTTCATGGAAAAAATCTACATCTTCCTAAACTGTGAGTGAGATTTTCTTAAGAAAAACGACAAATGTCTTCACATTACAGGTGTGAAGCACAACATAGTTTCTCACAAAGCTATAAACTCCCACGTAAATAAACCCTGGGGCCAAACAGCAGGGAGGCCCTGTTGTTGTTCTATCATCAGTATTTTCACTTCAGTGTGTTTATGTGACAACATCAGTTGATGCACTGAGATAAGAACTACAACCTGCTTCACTACACCTGCACTGACCAACTGGTTGTTTCACCAACAATAAGTTGAGGAGCTTTATCATATAAGGAAAAAAACATATAGACTATGATCATTATGATGGAGGCTAATATGTAGCACACATGTATTAATCATTTGTTTAAATGATGAGGTCACCAGTGATGGAAAGTAACTTGGAATATTTAACCCAATTGCTGTACTTAATTTAAGGTATTTGTACTGCACTACATTTATTTGATATCGTGTGTTACCGGTACATTAAAAGAAATAATACAATTACAGTCTCAAATACAAATATATTATAATGTATTATTAAAGGTTAAGATAATAAATGACTTAATGGATCCTGGAGCGGGACAAGCTACCAAGCAGTACAACTACTAAGGTCTATCTTTAATAAAGTGATGCAAACTTGATACACCAATTATGAAAATGATTTTTTATTATTATGTATTTCACAGGGGCAGAAATAAGTCATATCTGGAATCAAATGTTTTACCTGAGCTCAGCTGTCATAACACACAGAGAGATTTGACTATTCAAAACAGGAAAAGGTTGGTACCAGTGTTTCAGATACTAAGATAGCAAACAGAAGGGACTTCCTGTTCGGAGCATAGCATCAGGTTTGTGCACACAGCACTGGCACAAGTGCCACTAGCTTAACAAGCATGTTCACCTCGACAGCAGTAACTCTGCGTCTGTCGATTTAAATGATCTTACAGTTTATGAACTAGAGAACTCAAGAGCAAATACATATTAAATTCAGTTTTTCTATGTGCTCTTGATGTCTTAAAGTTTATTTTCCATTACTATGACGTCCATGTTCATTTGAATTTCCTCTTCTTCATTCGGTTTATTGGCAGATGGCAACAAACGACGAGGTGCATTACCGCCAAAATGATTTATACAACTTACGGAGTCAAAACCTTATCACTATTCCTTATATGTGCCTTCGCTCTCATTAAATAATCATTTCAATCATACTATTTGAATTATTTAAATCATTTTAATAAATCCAGTAGATCTGAGACAAGAAACTCATTCATAAAGCCACATGCCTCAAACATTTTAATGAAAGTCTTTACAATGTTAACACAACAGGAGACATGCAACATAAAACTGTTGACATTTGTAGAAAATGTCTAAACACAGCAACATAAACCACTGTGACAATGTGACGGAGGGGAAACAAATACAATCACTAACTTGTCACTTGAATTTAACTTCCCTCATTCTTTTTACAGTTAACTCCCATTTTGACCTGGCATCGAACACGTCAACTCCATTTTGCTCAGCCGTCACATCTGTGACTAAGCCTCTGTTTGTATTTTGCAAGAAAATCAAAATATCTGTAAATGAATCTCATTACAGTTATAACATGTCCCTGTTTGCTTAACAGTAGTTGACAGAATGATACTTAATATGCACACAGATATCAGTATAATGGGAAATATCCATAATGGATCCAAATGTTTATGAGCACAAATAAATATATAAAACATCAGTTTTACTCTGGGATACAAAGTTGCTGAAATCTGACGAAAAACATGTTCTGAATTTGGTCTTTGCCTTTTCGAACGCTGACGATGATTTCCCTCTGCTTGCTTCAGTCAGATGACTCGTGTAAACAGCTTCAAACTACTGCAGAGGGCGTCCAAATACATTCAAAAATATATGCACACATTTATGATCCTCAATAAAAAAAAATTAAAAAAACATCTGGTTAAGCTCTTCTCTGACGAACAGCTGGTTCCTGTCGATGTAATAATCAAGTAGCTACATTTTTATACACGTTTCATGAACAAATAAGCAGGATACATGTGAAAATAGAGTAATGATGATAATCCCTCATTGGTGTCTGCTCACACATAATCCTTCCTGTTGTAGGAGCTCGGAGCCACTGACCGTGGTGCCGACGAATATGCTATACGACTCTGGGGGTGCGTGCTGTACCTTGTCGGTTTATTTTCCTGCGGGGGACAACTGCAGCAGAGAATGCACCCTCCAATCATTAGCAGGGCAGCAGAGGCCCAGCCCAGATACAGCGCTGCCCCGATCTCCATCTTCTGTCCAGAGAGGATGAGCGGACTGTAGAACTCGACCACGATAGTGTGTGCTGACCAGGAAACGGGCACTAGCAGGGCCAGAGCCGCTGCGATGAACGACCCCCCAGAGGCGGCCATCACCCTGGCTTTAGCGGCCTCGTCCTCGATGCAGTTGGTGCACTTTGCTCCAACTATGGAGATGAGGAGTGCCAACAAGCCTACGATGATGGAGACGACGGTGAGCGCCCTGGCCGCCTGCAGGTCCTGAGGTAGGGCCAGCATGGAGTCGTAGACCTTGCACTGCATCTGCCCCGTGCTCTGGAACACACAGCTCATCCACAGGCCCTCCCAGTACACCTGGGCTGTGACGATGTTGGCGCCAATGAAAGCGGACACCCTCCACATTGGCAGAGCGCAGCTGACCACACTCAGCGCCCAGCCGAGCACCGAGAGAGTGACGCCGACCACTTCAAGTCCAAAAGACACCATCATGCACCCAGACAAACGTCCCCTTGTGAATCAAAAGCTCCTTAATTTGTCCTTTCTCTCCTCTTCAGTTCCTCTGAATTAAAATGTCTCTTTCTCTCACTTTTCCTTGCTTCCTTTTCCCACTTTTATTTTTCGACAAACACTTGAAGGCCGTCTTGATTTTGCCCTTTGAGCTCCTCTTTGTCAACCCTTCTTTCCACTGTGTACACCTCCTCCTCAAGTTGTAGCTACTGCACCTACTCCTGAATCCAGTGAAGTGTTGATTTCTCACAGTCTGCTTCCTTCGACTCTCCCCTGTGTGTTCGTGTGCGCTCGGATCTTGTTTTCCTGTGTTCTTCAGCTTTTAAGGCGTCAGTGACCCTTTACATTTTATAGATTAACGGCCAGGCCCTCCTAAGAAATGACATCACTCACCAAACCAAACCAATCAGGTGCAACCTGGCCATTGACCTCATTTACCACCTGGGTGTGCAGCTGCTTGTTTGCGTGCGTTTTTTCAAATGAAGAGTATTTTTATGGTTTAACCTTTTGCCCATGGTAGCTCCAGGAGTGCCTGCTTTATTACTTACAGGAGGTAATGAGTGACCAGGGCAGAGCTTGTTATGTGGTTGATAGCAGAACGCAAACATATAGTCTAAAAGATGTGTGTGTGTGTGTGAATTGGATGCGTGAGAGAGAGTTTGACTGTTTGCATAGAGAGGGAGTGGATCTGGACACACAGGAAGAAAAAAATTCAGCACAAATAAAATTTTCAGAGGGATCTAGTATCCATTTTCTTTCTGCTTTGTTGTGATTTTTCAAGTTTTCATGGTCTATATATTATATATAATATTCTATATCCTCTTATCACCTCCACTCCGCCATGCAGGCAATGTGTTATCATCCTGTAAAATCTTAGTTAATGACAAACTGGAAATGTTGAGAATTTGTTTTTATAGATGTTTTGCCTCTTTGAACCAACTGTAGTTGTTTTAGCTGCGCACTGAAACTCCCTCTTTGTTTTTATGCTTGGATCAATTATGACATAAAGTCCAGGACATCTTCATACAACACTGTCTTTGATTAACCAGCTTCCACAGGCAGGGTAAATAGAAAACCTGAATACAACAACCAGCTAAAATGTGAGGAATGTCATGTTATCAGTGGAGCAGAGTGAACAGTGTTTTGCTCTGAGACACGGGCCTCACATTAACTTGTGGCTTCTCTTGAATTCTGATCATTGCTCCGACCTGCTCCCGTTATCACACACACACTTTTATCATTATTATATTCGTCCGTATTATTCAAACACATCTGCCAAAGAATGGCTAACCCTGAAACCACGATTAGATAAAAGTCCGTTCATTGAGATTATCTTGTGTTTGGGAAGGAAACAAACAATCTAACACTAAGTCAAATCTTATCTGACCAATGATGCTATCTAATTCTCTGTTTGCACCATTAAACAAGAAATATTTGATGTGCGTTCTCCAGCTAGGTGCATGCACTGACAACACATACATATTATCTTAAACACAGTGTGTACAGCCTCTCATTCTGCATCACATTCTGGCCACCTGTCAAATTAAAGTTTGATATTTGACTTTGAGCTATATTGGATTCCTCTGTTTCATCAGCTTAAGAAGCTACAAATAATATTTCATTACATCGGTAGGGTTGCAAAAGAGAGCCCACTTTCACCTAATGGCCAAACTAAAATGTACTGTATCACGACTGCGTAGAACAAGTTTCAAGAAATATGGTCACAATCTCTTCCTCGGAGTTGTCGCCTTTAATCCTGGCCAGAAAAGGGTTTTTCGCCACTGAAAACATTATTTTCAGAATCTGTCTCGAGTTGATGAATGAGTTTCAGTGCGATTATCCATTTACTTGTTGTTTACTCAAGTATGTTGGTGGATCTGTGAGCGTGTGATCTCTTCCTCCTGCCCACTTGCATAGAAACACTCCCTTCTCAAATCCAGCTGGATACTGTAAATCAGAGGGTATACGACTGGATGAATAACAGGTTTATCTATTTGGTCTTCTGCCAAGAGGAATTCTGATAACATACGTGAGTTTGCAACACGCTGCCAACACACTGATCACACTAACCTACATACAAACTGGAAAACACTTACGAAATATCTTTATTGGGAGGTGATATGCTGGTAATCAACAACAGACACAACAATATAAGAATGTGTTTGTATAATTTAGAATAATAAAATACAACTTTACAACTTCATCCAGAAAATTAAAATTCAATAATTAATGTCAGTCATCTTGTTTGCTGTCTTGTTCCACACATTTGTGGAATCAGTGGTGTACAGCAACTAAGTCAATTTACTTGACATATTAGTGGTACTACCATTTACCTACTTACATTTTCTTAACTTTTCAGAGTAAGAATTTACAAAATATATAATTTGGTTTGAAAAAATGTATTTCAGGACAATGTGTCCAACAGTATATAAACTCACTCAAACTGGCTCCAACTTCACCATCTGATATGATCAAGAACATAATAACTAAACAATGACACACAAGAACATTTTGCTGTTAACACTTGTACTCAAGTATAATATTACTTAATAATAAATGATTGAAATACTTGTTCCAACCCTGGATGTAACCTACAAATTATTCCAAACAATACTTCACTCCAAATGAAATAATAATGAAACTCCATTAAGCAGTTAAACCCTTGGACATTTTGTACACAGTTGTATTTTTTATAATATATATATATATATAAGTTTATTGTCTTTAATCACATATCTTAGAGCTCTGTGCAACAAAATCTGATATGGCACAGTGGAGCAGAGGTTACAGCACTGTGTTGCCTCACAGACAAAAGGTTATAGTTTGAATCCTGCCTTTTTTATATGAAGTTTGTATGTTCTATTCATGTCTATGGGCTTTTTTGTTCTTCTCTGTACCAGTCCAGAGTATTTTCACTCAATGTCAGCTGGGATTATCTTCAGCTAACCACCTGCAACCTTCAAAGTATGAGCGGTAGAGGAATGGATGGATGTAAAATAGGAGGAGGAGGAAGTCTGAACAATAAAAAATGAAATGATCCATAGAAACTGAAGCACCTCCTCGTGGATCATATTAAAGATACCAAGCTCTTAATATGTCAATCAAGATGAGTTAGTGGCACTATAATGTCACTCAGACAATAACAAGCATTGACCTGACATACGTGTGCGTGTAATGTTTTCTTCTGAAGTAGATCTCTTCAAGAATCACGGGGGTTTCCACTGGCAGGTTTAATTAGGTCAGTGGTGATATGGGCCGACTCTTAGTTACTAATTAGGTATCTTTCCTCTGAAATGGGTTGAAAGCCTTGGGTTTAAAAGCTGCTTTTTTTTGTGTGTCCTGGGTGATGCCACCCTTTCAAAATAGACATTCTTCTTTTCTGAGGAAGAAAAACAGATGGATTTCCGTATCAGGGGCGTATAAATGAAACGTTCATAAACAGAAACCAAAAGATAACATTTAAAATTTCCTTCTGGTTTATCAGTCACTGTCCCTGCACCCTATGAGTCACACATGAACCCAGAAGTGACTCGTCCAGGAGAAACTCAGGACAGATTACAACACACAGAGAAGCAGCTGCTGCCTCCCTTTGGGCAGAGATGAGAACAGCAGAGAGGAGAACTCCAGAGATTTCATTTGATGAAGGGATTAAGTTACAAAATCCTGTCAAATCTGTCTTATTATCACATCTCTTGACCCTTACTTGTCACCCTTCCTCACACAACCACCAATATTCAGCACAAGCTGTTTTCCTGTGATCTCCTGTGAACAAAACACCAACTGTACGTTCACACAATCAGCCTTCAGTCCGCTTCACAGGACACACACAGAGGGAACATGAGAAAGCTCCTCTAAAGAAATCAGCCATCATTCCACATGGTCTCCTTATCTTTCACTTGATTATTTAGCTCTAAATACTGTTCATCTACTGCATATTCCTTTTCTTTTTTAAAAACATAATTCTGTTTCTTTATTATCAAATCAAACATTTCAAGGAATTGAACTTCAGTGTGATTTCTTGTTGACTGACCAGTGTTATATCAGAGTAGGGGTCACATGACTCGCACACTGTTTGTCTCCTTATTAAAACACTTTATTGCGAGAATGTGACTTACCGTGTCAGCGAGGTTTTTCACCCTCTGTGTACACATGAGTAGACTGAAGACTGTTGAGTGCCTTAGTTTTATATATGATGAATAAAGTTTTATATATATAATACCCTGAACCCATTTAACTGAGGGGACACAGTCTATAAAAAGTTAGATAAATTAACCAATCAGCTATATGAGGAGTTATTGGAGGTGAAGACAACTACCATTTTATTTCCTTTCAGCTGTATAATCAGAGAATATCCCTATCTATTCAACATAAACAGCCTGTCTGTAGTGAGTCACAAATTTAGACTTTACTAAAATTAGTAAAATTAAAAAAGACCCACCACACTGTGTGTGTAAATGAGATGTGATTTTTTAAGTAGTGATCTAATTAAAGTTCAATTGTCCAGCATTTGTAAGGTTGTTGAGTTGGGAACAAGCCCAAGTATTCCTGAAGCCATTTCTCCAGCACTTGGGTTTCCTCACTTTCCATTGGATAAGTAAAGGCACATGGGCCAGTCAGCCTCTTTGGGGAAAGTTAAAAGTGACTTTAAGCACAATGTACGATGATTTTACTTAATTAACATTGAACTGAAGCATTATTCGTTCTCCGACTTTAACCAAAGTGTTTTTGTTTCCTAAACATAACGACAAACAGGCCCATTGTTGTACAGAGGAACCCTGGGAGTCAGTCCTGTGTAAACCCTTCACCCAAGACATCAGTCATGCAGTAACACTGATAAGAATGTCACACTTCTCTTAGGATGTGTTTGTCACAGAATATGAAGCTGCATTTCTTGGAAACTTGGATGAGTCAAGTTGGTTTTGATTACTATTTTGGTTCCAGCAGCATGTCAGTCATACCTTTGACGTTATGATTCGCTGACACCTCTGAGCACAACACCATATTTGGTCAGTGGGAAGTTTTCGTCACAGGTATCATTTCAAACTCAATCAGGGCTCCACCCTCCAACTGCTAAAGGTGAAACTACAGACGGGGGAGGGGAAATAAAGACGGAAGATGATAATAGAAAAGTTCTCATCAACTTCTCTTTGACTCGAGGCTTGTGTTGTGTTGGAATGATGTGTTTTTCTGTGTGTGTGGTGCTAAACACAAAGCAGTTTCACAAGAATTCTTTGATGCAGGGTGGGGTGGGGGTGGGGGGGTAAACAGGTTATGGGTTTGTTTGGGGCTGGACCTGAAGAACAGGGAGTGAAGAAGTGAACTGTTTTCTTCCACAGCCCCTCCTCCTCCACAATATGTACCTGCTCTCCCTTGATTCCTCTCCCATTCAGCAAACCGTCCCTGACTAACCAGTGGCTCCATCGCAGAGAGAAAACAAACAACCCCACAGGCTTACGTCACTGCAAGAGAGGAACAAGCTCCAGTCGAAGGAACTCCAAGAACAAATCCACGATGGTGTCTGCCGGGTTTCAAATGCTGGGCTCGGTCCTGGGGATCCTGGGCTGGATCGGTGCCATTGTTGTGTGTGCCATCCCCATGTGGAAGGTCACTGCTTTCATTGGCAGCAACATTGTGACTTCGCAGACCTCCTGGGAAGGTATTTGGATGAGCTGTGTGCACCAGAGCACAGGTCAGATGCAGTGTAAGGTCTACGACTCCATGCTGGCCCTCAGCTCCGACCTACAGGCTGCCAGGGCCCTGACCATCATCGCCATCGTGGTGGGAATCTTGGCCATCCTGCTCTCTGTAGCTGGGGGGCAATGCACCAACTGTGTGGACGATCCGTCATCCAAGGCCAAGGTGGGCATTGCCGCCGGGGTTATGTTCATTGCAGCTGGGGTCCTCTGCCTCATCCCTGTGTGCTGGACAGCCCACACCATCATCCGGGACTTCTACAACCCGATGCTGGTCAGCGCCCAGAAGAGAGAGCTGGGTGCTGCGCTCTACATTGGCTGGGGCGCAGCCGCTTTGATGCTGATTGGAGGGGGGATGCTGTGCTGCAACTGCCCCAAAAAGGATGAAGGGTCCTACACTACAAAGTACAAAGCTGCCAGATCTGAAGCCTCAGCACCAGCATCAGGGAAAGACTATGTTTGAATCTCCTCTAGAAATGAGTGGCTTCCAAAAACCACTGTTTACAGGGACAAATACACTGGCGCTACTGGGCTGTGAGTGTCGATCATTCAGGATGTTTCTTGATCAAGAACTTACTCCCCATGAGCACATTTAAAGGAAAATAAAAGCAAGAGAGGAACCACACTCAAAGAGGAAACTCAGTTTTATTTTAACACAGTTCATTGTATGTGTATGGCTGTAGAAACATTTTCTTGTTCGTAAAAATATTTTATAACCTCTGTCTTATTAACCACTATCTTATAATTCTCACTTTTTTTGCCATGTTTATGTGGGTTTTTTTTTTTATGAAGTATTTGTATGAAAATCATGATGTGCTGGTTATACTGTAAATAAATATTCGTTTACGATTCTGAGATATCTCCCGCTTCATTCTTATTTTCACACAGCAGCTGTGTTCATCACAATTCATTCAATTCAATTCAATTTTTGATTCAGTGGTCTTAAAGTGGGGCAGATCAATATTTTACTGGAAGTCTAACATCAAATTTCTCTGTATTTATTGTTTTTTTTATATAACTTCTACTTTTTACACCTGCAGAGATGTGTGTTCACTACTATCCTCACCCTTGGGGCCTTTGAAAAGCATCTTTTGTCTGACTTTCCTGTTGATCAGGTTTAGGTGTGGCAGAAAAAGAGGCACGACGGCTGCTCTTTGTTCAAACTGTGAGCCTACAGGAAAAAGTATTTGCACCTTGCATGGACTCACAGGACAAATTTTTCATTTGCGAAGAGAAAATACTGAAATGCCAGTAAATAATCTTTGATTTGATTTCCCTTTAATAAAATCAGGAATTTGGAATGAGGTTTTTACTCATTGTCTCATAAATATCTTTTCTCCATTAGTTGTCTGAATGATAACGTTAGTGCACCTACAAACCATATTATATATTATGAGCTGAATGCGAAGACCCAAACCCAAAGTTTGTGTTTGCTCAAGGCTTGTGAAAGGGTCACTCTCTCTCTCTCTCTCTCTCTCTCTCTCTCTCTCTGTGTGTGTGTGTGTGAGAACAGGTGTGATCAGGAGTCATTGTTCCTGATCTTGAAGCCTTGCTTGAGGTAACAAAGCTTGTATGTGTGGGAACAATGAGCAGAGAAAAACAAGGGTTGTGGATATCAGGTATCAGGCTTCTCCTTTTGTCTGGGAGCCCTGAATCTCCACCCTTAAAGTTTGAACCGCAGCAGCTGCTACATATCTTCTCACAGTTGGACCTCAGTGCATCCGAGCACAGCAAACACTTCCTCAAGCAGCGGTGAGAGTGGGAGGCACAACCCCTAAAGCCTACGGAGATTTTACACCATCAGAATCTATTCATCTTTCAAGACGTGGACATTTTACTAACATCAACATCTTTTTTCTTCTAGTTTTCAAGCGTAGAAGTTGGGTTGTGGCTCTGTGGTCATAGCCATGACTTCTCAAGGCCTCCAGGTGATGGGTGTGCTTCTGGCCTTCATCGGCTGGCTGGGTACCATCATCACGTGCGCTCTGCCCATGTGGAGAGTCACTGCATTCGTTGGCGCCAACATCGTCACGGCTCAGGTGATCTGGGAAGGCTTGTGGATGAACTGCGTGGTGCAGAGCACGGGCCAGATGCAGTGTAAGGTGTACGACTCCATGCTGGCCCTGCCACGAGACCTGCAGGCTGCCAGGGCCATGGTGGTCATCTCTGTGATCGTTGGCGTTTTCGGCGTCCTCATGGCCGTGGCTGGAGGGAAGTGCACAAACTGCATGGAGGACGAGGTGGCCAAAGCCAAAGCCTGCATTCTGTCCGGTGTGGTCTTCATCATAGCCGCCTTCCTGATCATGATCCCGGTGTCGTGGTCAGCTCATGCAGTGATCAGGGACTTTTACAACCCCTTGGTGATCGCGGCTCAGAGGAGGGAGCTCGGAGCCGGCCTTTATATCGGCTGGGGCTCTGCTGGGCTGCTGCTGCTGGGTGGGGGGCTGCTGTGCAACAACTGCCCCCCAAAAGATGGGAGACCCTACATACCTGCCAAGTTCGCCCCCGCAAGAACCGTAGCTTCAAACGTGGACTATGTGTGAGTGTTTCTGCTGCAGCGGCTGCAGAAGGAGTCATACGTGTTTCTAACAAATGTGTATGTGCTGAAAATGGTGTGCTTATGGGAAGTGGGAAAAAGGAACAAAATTACATTTCACTGTGTTTAATCTGTTAATTAGTTAACATAACACAACACACTAAACTTCATGTATTGTCAAGAAAAAGCCTTAATGATTAAATGGCTGATTCCCAGGTTTCACAAGGAAGAATTTCTTCTGAAATATTCTTTTCCACTATCTTTGTTTTTGTTTTAATGACTGGAAACTTGTGACATTTCTCTGAGCCAATATTTTCAGTATGAATAAATTACAATACCTGCTTTTGGGAGCTGCAGCCTAAGACTGAGGATCTGATGCAATAGATGTGTAATGTATACAGTTCCTTCATCATCTTTTATATATACATGTTCTTTATCTAACAAATTCATATCAACTAACAACAATTTTTTTTACTTTAAAAAAAAGTTCATTTTGATATGAGACAATGTTCACTTGAAATACTTTATGTTCTTTGTTTCATGATATGAAGATGACTGCCTACCTTTTGAAATGTCAGAAATAAAGAGTCTTTGATTCACACCCTCCATGACGTCTTTCTCATGTTCACTCTGCACCTGCACTCCTCTCACTAACCACTGATGATAGGTCATTCAGGAATTCAGGGGAGCACAAGTGAAATGTATCTGAGTGAGATGTTTGCCGTGTTGTAATCAACTGCCTTTCTATTAGGACCGTTATTTACAGTTTCTGCCATGAGTCGAATGGACGTCACCGCCAGAGACAACATAGCTCTGCACATGCTCGGATTCATGTTGCTAAGGAACTGTCTTACATCTGCGGAGAATGGATATTTACACTTTGCCCAGAAAGAGAACATCTGCCAAGTCCTGTCAGGATGAAATATCCTAAACCTCGTTAAGGGGTTTCTTTTTGTCTGCAGACATTTTCAGTTGAAATCAGCCTGAAAAGAAAAAACAATACACCACTGTAATTTTTCCTCCATTGTGTCTACTTTACATTTTGGCCACTGATCTTTTACTTAGGTTCAAAGTAGGAATACTACAATGTAAAATAAAAATACAAATGTTTGTTTGTGGCTAAAAGAATTTGGATATTTCCAGAAAGTGAAAAGCATTTTTTGTTTAAAATGTATTATGATATTTGATTATTTGTTCTGATGCAAGCTGAAATTAACTATTTATAGTCAAGTCAATATTACTTATTGAGTTCAATAGCACAAATCACAGATTTACCTTGAGAGGCCTTATCTGTTGCCTTAAACCCTATAATGTAAGATACATCTAATCCTTTTATAAGCTGACCTCAACTTTTGAGTATCAAATCTTACATTTACTGCTAAGTATCTCTGTCAAATAAGAAAACATTATTCAAGGGATGTGTCTCAAATTTGCTTTAATTAACATAGTACTGAACTTAACCTTTACGCACTTTGTTGTATTCCATCAAAACAGGCATATTAAAAAAACATTTCTCACAAAAAATGCTGTTTATTACATGAATGTAAAAAACAAGATTCAAAATACATTTTACATGGTGATTACATTAGTTTTTCCTGAAGTGCTTATGTTGCTACAAACATCAGCAGAGTCTGAATTAAAATTGAAATGATTACGCAAAAGAGTGACCGAGTGAAAATAAACAAATTTAACTCCAGTCCTAACTCAATGATGCATTTATCTAACATGGCACATACCTTTAAGTCTCTGGTATCTTTCAGAATCAAAAGGCCACAGTTTATTAGTTTTAAGAAGTTAATGACAATGCAAATCAAACTCTGTAACAGTGAGAGGTTTGTACTGTACGTGGAGTCAGGCACTTTTCGAACAAAGTCACCGGCTCAGACAAATTCCTTCCCGGGTGTTGTGGATTTAGGAGGTGAGTACTTTGCTCCACTGTAGCGGTCTCCACCCGACGGGCACTGACAGCAGAGAAGAGCGCCTCCGATCAGCAACAGGCCTGAAGCTCCCCAGCCCACGTACAAGCATGCACCAAGCTCTCTCCTCTGGGAATCAGGAACCAAGGGGTTGTAGAAGTCCTTAATGACAGTGTTAGCAGGCAGAGACACAGTCACCAGACACAGAGCCCCACTCAGGATGAAGAAAACACCCGCGGCGATGGCCACTCTGGCTTTTGCTGCTTTGTCCCCGACGCAGGTGGTGCATTTCCCGCCAACCACCGAGAGCAGGATACCAAACAGCGAGAAGAGGATGGCGATGACCACCATGGCCCGGGCTGCCTGGAGGTCAGGGGGCAGAGCCAGCAGGGAGTCGTAGACCTTGCACTGCATCTGGCCCGTACTCTGCACCACGCAGGTCATCCACAGTCCTTCCCAAATGGTCTGAGCCACCACGATGTTGTTCCCGATGAAAGCAGACACCTTCCACAGGGGCAGCATACAGATCAGTATGTTTCCTATCCATCCGAGCACCGCCAACCCGACACCTAGAATCTGCAACCCTAAAGATGCCATTACTGTTCTGCTCGCGTTACTTTCTTAATTGCTGTCACAGTTCTTCTCCGGGCTGCCAACTAAAATCTCTCTGACTGTGGGGAAGTTTTATATGACCCACAGATGCCCCCTGAGAAGCCCCCTCCTCTGGGTGGGCTTTGGCTCCATTGCTCAGATACAGTGTAAACATCCATCATGCTGCCTTTGAGTTCAGAGGTGTTTCTGTGCAACAAAGAGGCACTCTGGTGCCTCAGCAGAGCCCAGAGAAAAAGAGAAGAAGCTTTCATACTGAGGTTCAGTCAAAAGGCAAAAGTTGAAAATCAAACATAATGGAAAAGGAAGATTTATTGTTAAACATTAACTTCAAAGTCCTTTGCAAACAAGGCAGGTCACACAATAATGAGCTAATAAAACCACATCAGACGGTAGAACAGGGATTTTCAGTTAGAGGCAGACTTTTGTAGTTGCCAGAGAATATGTGGAAAGATTGTGGAGCCCAGCAAATATAAAAAAGTAGAAAACTCAGGATGTAGAGCTAATCCTTACCATCACTATCAGAATAACTAGTAAACCTTACAGCTTCTCCCACTTTTAATGTTTAGCAGTTCAAAATAATGGATTCATTGTTAAAACAGCTGAAATAGATAAACTAAAAATAAATATCTGATTAGATATGGCTAGACAAGAAATGCATTGTCTGATGAAATAGCTTAGAGATATGGATAAAAGCTTCAATGAAAGATAATAACTTTTATACTTCTTTATGTTATATAAATTATTCATTTGAGGTTTAATGTGTAAATCCTTTTTTGTAAAATAAAATGTCCATCTGTACACTAAAGTGTTCCTCTACAGATTTGAACTTCTATTTTTATTTATCTACAGATATTCCATATAGAGACAGATATTCCATTGATATCCCTCATGCCTCTGTTTTGATTAATATTCACACAAACACACACACACACACACACACACACACACAGCTGATCTCACTGACAGGTGGGGACACTCAGCTTGATTCCTGCTCTGGTGAAAGAACCTGAAATAAGGAGATCAGCAGCAGCAGCCATCAGAACAGGCTCCTTTAGAAACTTCAGTGTCTGTTGTTTAATGAATGTTATAAAACGTAGAATGCTTGAGTGAAAATAAACTTCATCCTTCCATTTTTCATCTTTTCACATAGTTCTGGTGGCAATACATAAGTTTCCATGTTTTAGATAAACTGATAAAGAATCAAGAATTGAAATACATGAATCAATAACTTTGAAAACATGTGGATTTACACTAATACACAACAGCAAATTCCTTGTATGCGTAAACCTGCTTGACAATAAAACTTGATTCTGATAAATAAACAGGAATGTGAATCGGTCATTTAGAGATGTATTCAAATTGATTCATTACTATTTGTACAATGAATCAATTTAGTTTAAAGCAGCAGCAAAACCCTCAAACTTCAGTTTAACTTTGACCTGTGTGTGGTTGATGATGTGGTCCACCCTTGACGACCACAGGTGTTTTCAGTTTGGATTATTTTGAACGGCCAATCAGGGAACGCCATGGATACCAGGTATAAAAGCTCCAGGTGGAAAGCCACCAGTTGTATTTCATTGCTGGTGCTGCTTCTGTACAACGTGAGACTAACATGGCGTCTGCAGGTCTTCAGATCCTTGGCATTTTCTTGGGGGCCATTGGGTTTTTGGGCGACATCATCATCTGTGCCCTGCCGATGTGGAAGGTGTCGGCGTTCATTGGGAACAACATTGTGACGGCACAGATCTTCTGGGAGGGCCTGTGGATGAACTGTGTGAAGCAGAGCACCGGACAGATGCAGTGCAAGGTCTACGACTCCATGCTGGCCCTGCCCCGAGACCTGCAGGCTGCCCGGGCCCTGATCATCATCTCCATTCTGATCTCCCTCATGGGAATCCTGCTCTCCATCGCAGGTGGTAAGTGCACCAACTGCATTGAAGAGGAGATGGCCAAGAGCAGGGTGGCCATCGCTGCGGGGGTGTTCTTCATCGTCGGTGGCATCCTGTGCTTGATCCCTGTGTCGTGGTCTGCTAACGAGGTCATCAGGAACTTCTACAACCCCATTATGAATGACGCACAGAGGAGGGAGCTGGGAGCGTCGCTGTTCATCGGCTGGGGATCTGCTGGACTCCTTCTCATCGGAGGTGCACTTCTGTGCTGTCAGTGTCAGCAGCGTAAGGACAGCAGGTACTCGGTGAAATACTCTGCCCCGCGCTCAGCAGCGAGCGGAGGAGCCTACGTTTGAAATGACTGCAAGTAATTCAACTCTGCACACGTTTCCACCTGGAGACTGGAATCTTCCATTTCATTTTTAGTGTCTACCTTTTATGTTTGTGTTTTACTGATTATTTTAATAAAACCTCTTATGACCTAAAGGTTTTCTTGTTTGTGTGGTTCATGACAAATGTTTTAACATGGTGGTTTGACATTAATTCTTCTTGGGGTGAATCAGCAGAGTTCGTATGGGTGCCTCACCCAGTTTAAGTTAATGTTTTCTGGATTTTAAGCAGCTTATTTGGAGTGTAAATGATTCAGCAACTTTTAATCCAAGATTTATGCAACTACTTCTCAAAAGTTGTGCCATTGGCTGTAAAACTTTCTCTTTGCAATATTTACAAGCGACTAGTTTGCAATCTAGTGAAAAGTAAATTTATATATTTCTAACTTGCAGACTAAAAAGTCCAGTACTTTGAAACAATTTTATAGACATTGAGAGGAATTTGTTCCAACTAGTTTATTTCAGTGTTTAAATATGAACAAGTGCCACACACAGTATAAGCAGCAAAGGTTTGGACAAAATCTAATTATGATTCATAAAAGTTTGTTACTAAATGTTTGTTTTTACTAAACTACCTTACCTGTTAACCGCATAGCACTGGTTAGCATGATGGCTAGGCTAACGTTAGCAATTAGGTCAACAGCTCCAGGTGTGTATCAGGGTGGGTCCTCTTCCTCCTGATAGAACAGTTTGAAGTCTGAGTTCACTTGGCTACGTGCTGATTAGCTCGAGTAAGCTTGAGGTTTGTCTCTGATGGGAAATGTATCTGTCTCTCACTTTGTGAAACTTCTCTGTTGAATATGTTCCTGCATGTGCTTGAATTACACAAAACATTTATCCAGCAACAACTTTTGTCTACAAGATTCTACAGCTACACAACTTGTACAAATATCTGTGTACACAAAACACATACACAAAATATTTTTACACCTACATAACCTTTTTGCAAGAGCACACACCCTTCATTTGATCCCATAGTACTCTTCCCACTGATCAGTGTCTCTCAGTTTTTCTTATGCTCTGTACAGTTAAGATGCTTTTTACAGAAACTAGACATTGAAATGGTTAAAATGTTTTTCAGTCCATTTAAAGGCTTTGGATCACAGAGCAGTTTTTCTTACATGGTGGCTTTTGTTAGCAGCTTTTGTCTCCTGGTTATTCACAGTGAGCAGTAATCCAGACAAGCAGGAAACCTGATCTGCAAACTAGCGAGTCCCCTCCCTGTTTCTCTTCCTTCTCATACCTGCAGCGCAAACAGCAAAACACAACCTGCTGTATTTACAACCAAAGGATTCTCTGCTCGACTAAACTGCTCAGCAGTGGATTTTGCTGGTGTCTTTGACATTGTGGTTCATTTTGAATTCATGCCTTGGATTTGTTTTTTGGCAACATGCGGACACAGCTTGTTGGTTTGTGTTTGGCAATCATCGGCTTCCTTGGCACCATCCTCATCTGCTGTCTGCCCATGTGGAAGGTGACAGCCTTTGTTGGGGCAAACATCATCACCTCTCAGGTCTTCTGGGAAGGTTTGTGGATGAACTGTGTGATCCAGAGCACAGGCCACTTACAGTGTAAAGCCTATGACTCCGTTCTGGCTCTACCACAGGAACTGCAGGCCTCCAGGGCTCTGATTTGTGTGTCCATCGCTGTCAGCGTGGTGGCCATTGGGCTCACCGTGGTCGGGGCCCGCTGCACCAACTTCTTTTCGGACGACTGGCTGACTAAAGCCAACATCGGCGTATCGGGGGCTGTGGTCTTCATAATAGCAGGGCTCCTGTGTATAATTCCTGTCAGCTGGTCAGCCCACAGCATCATCACAGGTTTCTACAACCCACTGGCCACCAGTGAAAGGAGGGGGGAGCTCGGGGCCTCCATATATGTGGGCTGGACGTCTGGAGCTCTGCTCGTCATTGGAGGAGGAATATTGTGCAGCATCTACAGGTGCAGAACATGAAGAACATGATGCCACCCATCAAATACACATTGAAAACAAACATGTACAGTTATGTGTTCACTGTGATGGACATCGTTTGATTTTTCCCAATTTTATTCAACCTTTAGTTGCACTATAGTGATATTTTTTCAACAAATCAGTTTTAAATTGGTGTACAATTTTAATGTGAATCAAAATTGTGTTGTGTATGTTGAATGAAAATGACTAGTTGAGCTCATAGTTGTATAATGTGTCACTGCAGGAAATGATTTATGAGTTTATGTGACTTGTTTATGTTGCACAAATGAATGCTGCAAGAAAAATCACTTTTTACACACTCCCACACACAGGTTTATATCTTTGTATTACTTTGTATATTTGTATTTTTTAACAGAAGGAGAAATAGAATAAAATGAAAGTGAGAGAAAAATGTGTTGGTCATCTCAATTTGTATAAAAGCCTGACAAACCTGATATGGATCTGTCTCCGAGGTATTTGAATACTCACAAACCTCCTCTGTTCACGTTTGCATATTCCTGTTGATCTTTGTGTCGTCTGATGTCATAATGAAAAACAACTTTGAATTTAAGTCTCTGGTTAAACAGGACCTCTGCAAGAGAAATGCAATCACATATTTCTTTTCTCTAACAAGACTATCAAAAGTAATAATCCACTGTGGATATGTTATTTGTAGCTCTGCTGCTGTGTAAGTGTGTATTTTAAAATGGGAGGCAGAGCAGGCAGATCTCTAATAGTTCAATGTGATGGAGAATCATCTTTTGATGGTGGAAATAAAACAATGAATCAGAGACATAAAGAGAAACCTTTAAATGTTGTTCATCTTGAAATGAGCTTTAAATTAAGTTTTACTTTTATACTGCAAAGCTATATAAAGACTCAGATTGAATACCATGATTTTACCAAATAACATCAAAATGTTGGGGCACTTGAGAAAGTTTTCTAAAGCAGTTGCACATTCATAGTCACTGGGTGGTGCTATATGAAGTTCCAGTTTCAAGGTGATGGTTTCATTCTTTTTTTAGTAAGAATGTTATGGAACAACCACAAACATAAACAAAGGGAATGTATTTATATTTTCCAGGTTTAGTTCATGTTATATATGATTATATTGTTTTGGTAATTTGTATTAATTTGTGAATTCAATGTATTCACATTTAAAACTCGTCAATAAAGCTCCTGACAGATTTCTGAATCAGCAGATATCTGTAATATCTTATGTTTCCCGGCGTCTGCTGGGTGGAGCTCTCTGTGACGTCCTGAGCCTGGTTCAGTCCAGAGGAAACATCTCAATATACAAACTGTCTGGGCCTCCTCCCCTGTAGATCCCAACCTTCCTCCTGCACGACACAGCCACGGTCATGTTTGATATCATGAGATCAAACAACCCCAGGATGTTTGCTCGTGCATCGAGTGGGAGTGAGAGCTCGTAACTCAAGTGCATGACTATAACCCCCTGAACACAGCTCAGAGTGTGTGGGGTAAAGCTGTATGATCAGCCTCTGGGGACACAACCAGGATCTGAGCAGGGGACTTTAATCCGTCAAACAGATCAGGGACACCAGACGAGGGGATGGGCCAAATCTGGTGAGACACAACAACGCAAAGTGAATATTATGAAGATAATTTGTCACAACAGTGGATATAATGAGATTTATCGCAGGGTTAAATCAATCCATCAAATTGTATTTGTATAACTCATATTAACAAAGTGCAAGATCAAAATAACAATATTTTAAACATTCATGAGAAAAGAGAGCCTCTGTGGTAAATGGATCAATTTAAACATTGATGTTTGACCAGAGCTCTGCACTCATCACTTGGTAAATTCCACTTCATACAATAATTGTCACCCAAGCAAATACCAACAGTAATAAGACATGTGCCTTTTTTCATTTTAAACTTCTTCAGTCATTTTGTCTTTGGGGGATTCTGTGTGCATCTGTGAAACTCTGCAATTCTGGTCTGGTGAGATGACATTTAAAACCAGTTTCAGCTCAGAGGCCGCACCACAAAACTCCTCCTCTGACTTGTCAAGAAAACCTCAAAGTGAGCTGCAGTCAGCTTCTCCAACAAATACCTGCTCCTTCGTGTCCCTCACTCGTAAATAAGCCCCGTCTCTCTGCAGCGCCTGCCGAGTTGAAGAGATCGACGGAGCCTCAGCATGGTGTCTGCTGGAAGACAGATTCTGGGTATGGCCTCCGCCTTTATCGGCTTCTTGGGGAGTATCATTATCTGCGCCCTCCCCACGTGGAAAGTAACAGCGTTCATCGGCGCCAACATCGTTACTTCCCAGGTGATCTGGGAAGGATTGTGGATGAACTGTGTGAAACAGAGCACAGGCCAGATGCAGTGCAAGGTCTACGACTCTCTCCTGGCCTTGCCCCGAGACCTGCAGGCTGCCAGAGCACTCGTCATCCTCGCCATCATCATCGGGGTCTTTGGGATCCTTCTGTCGGTGGTCGGGGGCAAGTGCACCAACTTTGTGTCGGAGGAAAGGCAAAAGTGCAAAGTGGCCATCGCTGCTGGGATCATCTTCATTGTTGCTGGGGTCATGGTGCTCATCCCCGCCAGCTGGACCGCGAACACCATCATTCGGGATTTCTACAACCCCATGCTCATCAACGCCCAGAAGAGGGAGCTGGGAGCCTCGCTCTACATCGGTTGGGCCTCTGCGGGGCTGCTGTTCCTGGGCGGGGGCCTCCTCTGCAGCTCCTGTCCCCCCAGAGATGAAAACGACTACAACGTGAAGTACGCCAAGGCTCGCTCTGTGGACAGCAGCAAGGCCTACGTTTAGATCGTCAGCAGGAGATAAGACAGAGAATCGATGGACGTTTCAGTTTGTCCCATAAGAAAGAGCCAAGTTCCACCATTTAGAATATAGCTTTGAGCTTTTGCAGTATGAAATTTAACAACTTTTAAAAATGTTCTTATTGTGCATATTGTAAAATGTGCATATGAGATTATTCACAGTTTTTGTATTTAACACTTTCTCTTGGACAGTTTTGTACAGATTTACTTATATTTTTGGTTTCTGCTGTTGATCACATACTCACATTACATATTCTCTATGACATGTGAGGTTCAGAACACGTGTGTTAAAAACTGCATTATGTGTTTTTGTATGTGAAATCTTCCAGCGCTGTTGCTCCTCTTCCTCCATTAACCCAACTGAATATCGACGATGAAGAGACTGATTCACATTATTTTCTGGCTTTTTCTCCAGATTTGGTTTGTTGCTTCAGTTCTTTAAGACACATCTGAGATTATGTTTTCCATTTTTGAGTTTTTTTCAGAGGGAAGAACAGTTATAGTGACAAATGTCAAGAATAAGGTTTTTCAAGTGTAGAATCCTTACTGACAGGCTGTGTGATAATGATAAACAGTGTTTGTGCTTATGTTCTCTCTTATTTATCTCGACAAGAGCAAAATCACCTTTTCCAGACAGAAATGTAACACCTGACATGAAGTCACCACATGTTTGTGTTCATATCAAGTTTAATAAACATAATAAACTGACCAGAGTCTAAATCCATACACAATTACATCATAGTTGTGTCTCTGAATTCATGTGAAAATAATAAAATATACACATAATGTGGTTTTAGGTTGGCAATAATAATAATAATAACAATAACAATTCTTATATCCCACTATTAGGCCATTTGTTTTACGTAATGTGTAAAATAGAAAAGAATGACACAAAAACTATCCCCCGGAGCTACGAGGACAGATTAAAGATTATTTTGAGCCTGATTAAGGTTTGGTAGTTTGTGTACGTGTGTGTGTGTGTCTGTGTGTGTGTGTGTGTGTGTGTGGGGTGAGGGTTGAAACAGGTTTTACTGCACTGTGGATGCTGCAAGAATGAAACTGGTTTATCGTGTTCCACATTTCTCTCCTTAATTTTGTTACAGAAACACATCCTCACACACACACACACACACACACACACACACACACA